TAGGGTTCAACTTGAGTTGTCGTTTCAGTCGGTAAAACGTGTTGGAAGACTGGGTGTCGTCTACTCCGGCGCGGGTTGGATGGAGCGAACATGTAAGCAACTCTGAGACAAGGCCTTGTGTTTGGTAATGATTCGATCTGGAATTCGTTGTCCCATCCAATTCAGATTAGTCGGCTTCGCTGGTTAGGACACGTATTGTGCATGCTCAATCATCGTCTACCGCACCGCGCCCCATTTGCGGTTGCTGCTCCGCGGTTGAAGGAAATCGCGTGGCGGTCTACAGATGATTTGGAGTCGAGGCCTGAAGAAGTGCACAGAGCGATTATGTAAGGTAGGTGTCTCTCGTTTCCCGGGTTTGGGGTCTAGAAGACTGCAACTGGTTGGTTGGAGACTCTGAAGGATATGGTAACTAACCGACAACAGTGGCTTTCTTGTTTCATTTCTCATCAGATTAGAACGATTGAGAGGTTATGTATGCACACTTAGGTTGTGTACTCCGTGTGTTGACCATAGAAGTTCACTTTCTTTACCTCCACCCAATTAGGCCCATTCCCTCGCTATCTTCTGCTTCATCACTTGATTTGTGTGCATTGTGAGCTTGGCAGCTATCAGTGAAGTTCGCTTCATTGTATCTTGCTGTACGATGAAGATGATTATGATATCCATAGCTCATCCATTTGTTTTTGGCTGAAACTGTTTGCTGGTAGGGTTCACTCCGTTGTGAAGTATTAATTGTCCGTCGTTTTCGCTCCTTTTAGTGTACTTATTTTGTCTGTCTCATGAATTGCTAATATTCACTTTATGTATTGTTATTTCGTTTATCATACCAATTGTAGACCAGTGTAATGATAGCGGCCGTAGATTATTTCAGGTCCATTATCATCAGAGGTGTGCTACTGATTGCAGATAATTACACTTTGTGATGATCGGTGAGGCGGACTACAAGCGTTGATTAAGAATCTGCTGTATCCTGGGGGAGGCTGGTCCTCCACCAAATGGGACCATTATCATTGCACTACTCCTTTGATTGACGGAATATAGATGTGTTCCTCATCTGAGTGCGCGTTCCAAATTTAGTATTCTTTATGCACCTACCATCACATACCGAAACAGCATCATCCTTTATCTTGCCCGCATCTTAGTAAGTCGAGCAACTATCAATACTGACACGGAAGATCACCTATCACAGACTATTGTCACATCCATTTGGTAGATGTTGTGTGTACACGTTTTTTTTCCAGTAACCAGTCGAAAGCTCTGAAAATCCACCCTGTTGGGTGCATTAAGCTTAACTTGGCTTGAATCTCAAATGATATACATATAGGCCTACCAATACATCTAATTCTATGGAGCTAACATATAAATATACTTAATTTCGCATTTCTGTTTTAATCAGTATATCATATGATAAAATCACTTTTGAATGTTTATTCCATGAGGGATTTTGTTTTTTTTCCATAGCTGACGTTCGTTGCTGTTTGCTTTTGGATCATAAATTGGTGTGGGAGTCTAACTGGCGCCCTCCTGGTCCACAGTGTTGGGATTCCCATACCACGTTCAATGTTGATCGAGCCAAAGAATTGCAGGTGCAAGTGTTTTGGAAACGCATGTTTTCACCCACTGGTTCACCAGGTCAAGGCAGTACTGGTCACTTGGGCACGTCCTCCTCTTCTGGCAGTTTGGGAAAGAACTCCTCAGATGACACAACTTCTGGTCTGGAGTGGGTCTTAGGTGCTGTGACGTGAGTCTGATTGCCTCATCTAAACGAAATTTCCGAGTGTGGTGATGAATTGTATTCCTAAGCTTCCGGATTCTGCGTTCTGCATGTCCCGAATTCCAGTGACTAATGTGCAGTCATACCTTTTACTCTTATACAGAGTAGGGCGTTTTTGTAACCGCTGTTGAGTTCTGGTGGACACGATTTAACGCATTCCATGACCTTTTCTGAATACCTCTCCTGTTTGATCAAACAGGCTTTCAAAGGTATTTTTCGTGCAACCGTTATTAGTTCTGCTCTTTTTGTTATGATGAGGTTTACAGTGAGTAGGAGTAAATTTCTCGCAAACAGCTGTTGCAGTCGAAAGTCTGCAATTACTGATTTTAACCCACCGCTTTATCGTA